CACACCAACAAACCACAGGTTTTTGTCAGCTGAAGTGACATTACACCTTAAAGCAATGGCTTATAAACTGTGGAGCGGAGAAGGTTACAGCAAGCAAGGTACCCCTGCCCACCAAGCCTTGGTAGTGCACAGAAATTTCTGGCATTCCGGCAGAGCTGAGCAAGGTCTGCAGATGATGGTGAGTTTAGAATATCTTTCACATAGAAATTAAAGCATGTTCTCCTTTGGACAATGAAAGGGAGCTAGAGATACCAAACACTGAACAGCTCAGGAAAGGCAGACTCCAAGCGATCACACCACCATCCGTCACCAAAGGAAGCCGATGTGAGACAAGTTCATGAGCCCAGAGTGCGAGTGTAGGCACACGCATGGGCAGGGGTTCCCACAGCGCCTGTGCCTACCGCATGAAACTCCCCGGGAAAGGCGGCTGCGCACACGAGCAGTTTGGCTGGGATGAATCCCAGAGTGGCTGAGGTTGGAAGGGACCGCTCGAGATCACCTACCCAACCCCCCTGCTCCAGCAGGGACACCCACAGCACATGGCACAGGGTGGCATCCAGGCGGGTTTGGAAGATCTCCAGAGAAGGAGACTCCACAGCCTGTCTGGGCAGCCTGTTCCAGGGCTCTGGCACCCTCACAGGAAAGAAGCTCTTCCCTACATGGAGGTGGAACTTCCGGTGTTTCCACTTGTGCCCATTACTCCTTGTCCTGTCACCGGCCATTACGGAGAAGAGCCTGGCCCCATCCTCCCTACAATCACCCCTCAGGTACTTGTACGTGATGATCAGATCTCCTCTCGATCTTCTTTTCTCCAGGCTAAACAGGCCCAGCTCACTTATTCTTTCCTCATAAGATAGATGCTCCAGTCCCTACGAAGGGCTACGAGTCCCTACGAAGGGCTACGATAGATGCTCCAGTCCCTTAAACACTTTCATGGTCCTACGAAGGGCTGCAACAAGTTCACGGGAAATAAACCCTTCACTCTTCCACATTCACTGTTTTTTGACAACTATCAGAGATGGGGTTACCGGGCTAAGCAGACCCTGGCATGTCTCGGAAAAGATGCACTTATGTTACATGCTTACATGCAGTTAAAAGGCTTAGGATGAACACGTAAAAACACAGGGGGAAGCCCCTGACTTGATGCCTTGTGGAATTTGATGTTTTCCCATGGCCTCTCATGATTGCTATACACTTGCACTGAGTCTCTGCTGCCACAAAAGAACAAACAAGAGCGTCTCAGGGACACCAGGCAGAACGCTGCAGCAGGCATCATATACTATGAAGTTATAGAAGTCCCGTGTGTCCTTCTCAACAAAAGTTTCTGTAAGCAAGTCAGTAAATAGCTTTTGAACCTCCAGCTCTGTAAACTGAGACATCAAAAACGAAGTATTTCAATTGTTACAGAAGGTCCAATGAAAAGTCGTTAATAATGTTAACAAAAACAATGGTCCAAATAGTTTTATTTTTAAGCGTTTAACAAAAAAAAAAAACACAACACCCCCCAAACCAGCAGTTTCTTTTCAGAAAGGCAAGAATGTTTCTCTATATGCAAAGAGCTAGTCAGCAGAAAGAGTGAGATTTCTCAAGCCACTATATTGCCTAACCTCATCTTCCGTCTTCTAAAAGTACAAACCAAGGCAGGACACTTACGACTGTCTTTCTAAAACAGAAAGGTCGTAGTTCTGCTCTTTAACTTCGCTTTCCATTTTTTAAAATATCATAGCTTAGATTTTGGCTACCTTACTAAAGCAACAGTAAAGAGCTACTCTTGTAGGCGCTACTACAAGAGAAGAATCTATCACTCACTCCAATTGGTTTTAAGGTCACAAAGAGGTTGCAGCAATAATCGCAGAGGGGAAATGTACCAATGATTAGAGAATTCTATACAGATTAAATACAACTAAACTGACTCAAAATAGATTTGGACATTATAAAATCACCTCAAAAGCAAGGAATTCAGACTAAGTTTTACAAATCAGGCATGAGATCTAAGCAAATGCTTCCTTAGAGATCAATGCCCACAGAGTAAGCCATATTCAATTTGATTCTGGTTATTTCTAAATCGCAAGACTTTAAAGAAAAACCCTACAACAAAGTAAAAGACCCAGATGAACAGCCTACATGAATCACCTGTAACAGTTAGTACAGACATTTCAGTTTTACTACTGTTACATATGTGACCTACAGGATACCATTCAGCATGAACTATTTTCTCTGCAGTGCCTGACTTCATGGGAATAAAATACTCCTCAATGGAAATAAGTGGAGTTAGAGACTCAGAAATAAGTGGGCAGAGGAAGGAAAGAGAGAGTGTCTGTCATATGAGGAAAGACTAAGTGAGCTGGGCCTGTTTAGCCTAGAGAAGAGAAGGCTGAGATGAGATCTGATCAACAGGTACATGTACCTGAGGGGAGAAGGTAGCGAGAATGGGGCCAAACTCTTCTCCGTGGTAGCCAATGACCGGACAAGGGGTAATGGCTGCAAGCTGAAATCCAGGAAGTTCCATCTTCACATGAGTCTAAAAATTATGAACTTCATTCCCAAATTCATGTTTCCATATTTACAAGCTGCCTGACCTACTGCAACCCCTACAGCTCACAGTTCACGGCACCTTTGTACAAACCCCTCCTCACTGGCAGGGCCAAGTAAGTCGCAATGAGCCACGTTCCCTGAACAAACTGCAGCAGCTGAAGCCACAGGCACCATCCGCTTTCCCTGCTGCTGGGGAGAGATTCCTTGGCAGGAAGGACAGGTGAGAAATCTGCATGCCATCACCTTCACGCACTCATATCTTATTTGCATTATACGAATGGCCAGAAGTCCAGTAGATCTAACATTACCTACAATGTCCCTGCTTCAGTATGGGGGTTGGACTAGATGATCTCTAGAGGTCCCTTCCAACCTCAACCCTTCTGTGGTAATGACAGGAAAGAACAAAATGGTCAGGCAGCTTAGGTTATTTGGCTTTCAGAAAAACAAGCCATTTTAGGAAGCTAGTATTTATCATAATGTTGTATGACCTACTTGATTGTGTTGTTCTGGAAGCATTAAGCATTTCTTACTTATCTTTCAACCTTCAAGAGAATTTCAGTGATGAAATTTAAAGCATTCTTTACTGCTGTGTGAAAATCTGAGTTTAGCATAGGGAAACAAGCATAGATTCACACAAGCAGTCTAAGATAACAGAATGTGGAAAAGTCTTAATAAACAATGACAAGAGACATAGCAATTCAAGTCTGATCATTACAAAATCATTCTTATTTTATCTTGACAAAAGAGTTAGGTATTTGCACACTTAACCTATGTTAGAGCAGCCAGGAAAGTGTAATTTATGCAACACTAAGCATCACATCTAACAGATCCTACATGTGGTAATTCACTTTCGTATCACTGTACAGGTACACAGACTGAAGTATCCTATGTATGTGACAAAGAAAAATTAACATTGAATATATATATATTCGGAAGTGATTATTTCTGTGAACAATCCGGTGAAATATACCCCAGTGCTGTTTGTTTAATCCAGCACAACAGAACGAAATGAGTTTAACAACAGCGTTTTGTGGACAGTTTAAGTTTGGAGGCTCAATGGAAATAACTGGAGTTAAGAAACTCAAATAAGTGGGCAGAGGTCCTGAAGGAAAGAGAGAACCCTCAATTCATTGTGGGGGAAAAAAGAAGGAAGGAAGATTCAGGGAAGATACAGCAGCGATAAGATTAAAATTGTATGCAGAATGACACAACTAAGGGTTTTTTTTTAAATTAAAACTTAAATGAGAAACTTGTATAAACGCAATTCAACACAATTTATGTTAGTTGAATACACAAGTTGCCTCAAGCTTCATTTAAAAATATTTAGGGCAAGGGCCTTATTTCAATGTATAATACTAAATATCAACTCTTTTATGTTATCATGATAAGACGAGTTTCTGTTATCGTAAGATGAATTAACAGATTTTTCAAAATTTGTTGCCGAGAGACCCTTAAGTCCACAATTAAGCACCAGTACACGTAACACAACAGGAACTTTGCACATAAGCTTCCGAATCAAGAAATAAAAGTCATTTTACTGGACTTCTCAGAACTAGGCATCCAACGTAGGAAAGAAAAATGGAATAGCCTATGAAAAAAAAAAAAATCTATCTGTATTTGACTTACAAAAGCTATGTTCCACACCCCCAATTAGTTGAATACTATTGTATGGTAAGTATATGTCATTAGTGATATTCAGTACAATCTATTAAACACAAAGGAATATTTCAGGAGTCCTGAGGAAAAAAAAATTAAGGATCAGGGAGAAAAGGGCTTACTTCTCAGGAGCCCTACATGCAAAGTTCTCCAATAACGGATTAAGGTTTCCTAGAAAAAAAATGGAATTAACTAAAATGACATCGTAAAGTTGTTTGTCATGAGGTTTAATTTTGAGGCCCAAATTTTTTTAAGCAGGCTTTAAAAAGTAAATAAATCAGGAAAAGATAGTCTTCTCTCTCAACAAATAATTTAGAGCTTACTTTTAAATCATCTCACCAAGCAGAGTTTCAGCTCATTTCTTCCCTATTTCCACAAATTTACACATTGCAGTGTACCTTAATGCAAAGTGAAAATTGAGCAGTTCAGCTCCTTCAAGTTTTTAATTGCTTATTCCATATCCTAAGTGATTTAGTTGTCCAAATATTCTTGATATTTAAAATATTATTCTTCATAGGTTAATTTTTATAAGGATAATAATCGTCCATACCTTCCACGTGTTCTACGCACGTAAAATGAGATTACCTGGCAGAAGTATTTCTATACATAAAAAATACTAAACAATAGTTTAAAAGTGAACACAATTTAATATAACTTCTTAGCTGAAATTTCTTTGATATAAATAACTGAGAGATTATAGGATTTGTATTTAGTTTTGCTTACACTTTCATAATTATTTTAATGGAAAAAACACCACTCAAATCCTACAATAAGGTGGCTACATCAAACTTTTACAAAATTATGCTTACCTTTTCTGTTGATATGAACTGAGGCCAATCGTTGTCTCAGTCTGTAAAGGAAAAAAACAAATTTAAGAGACTGCTAACATCATACTTCCATGAAGCTGGGGCAAGCAACTAATAAATTAGTAGATCAAATTTTTAAAGACAGAAGTTACAATGTGGAACAGAAAAGTCAAATCAGCTTTTCCCAATTAGTTCCTTGAAGAAATTAAGCCATCAGCTTGTCTTCTTAAGCCAAAGACTGTTGGGTCCTGGACAAGAACTGTGGTCAGATCCAGCAGCAGGAACTACTCCGCACTGTGGGACAAGCAGGAGCTCAAAGAGTGAGAGGAGGAAAAAACGTGTCAGAAAGAACAACATTGCAGGGAACAAAAAGAGCAAGCGAAGGCGTAAAAAATAGTACAAAGAAAAGCATATAAAGCAAGCGGCAGTCAAGAAAGTGTCACCTGTGCAGCTCAAACCAGAAAGTAAAGAGTATTATAATCTCCATTTGATTAGGAAACTTCATCTTCTTCCTCGCTAGTGACTGTTTAGCCTGTTATTCACACTTGCAGTGCCACTCTGCTGGACATGACACAAGAACCTGAACGCAAGGAGGTTACAAGGTCGAAGAAACTCCAACTGCTTTAAAAAGGCTACAAAAGTCACCTTGAGGCAGCTAATGTTACAGCATGTCAAGCTTTAAATTCCCAAAGTGTTTGGGAACCAAATATAAGATTCTAGGCCTTTTCCGAAAGCTATTTTATGGTCTTTTAGAAATTTACAGAATATTTGTCTTTGGGGAGTGGAAAGAAAGCTTATGGGTCTGTGATAAAGTCCATTGCTCACACCTTCACTCATCTGACACGGTTTATCTCCAATAAAATGGAGCTTGTTTGCAAGGGAGGTGGTAATTCACTTTTTTTCCATATGGAATACGAAAACTTCCCCGGCTGGGCACTTCAGTGATATATATTTCAACCACTAACCATATTTTCAGTCCTAGTCTTTCCTAAAATAAAGGTATTCCCTTCTATGAAAAAGAAAAGAGAAAGAAAAAAAAAAAACACAAACTCTGAACTCCCTGTGCAAAAATTTCTGCAGTAACAGAACCTGCACTTTATTTCGTCCTTTCAGGTCATTTCTTCAGGTTTTCAGTGCTGCTACTATTAAAACAGCTGGTCCATATATATTTTTGTCCATAAACACATTTGATTCATGACAAAGGTCAATTCTAGACTGCAGAATAAATAGTACTTCAGTTTCAAAAACAAATTATATTCATTGACGCTCATATGACTAAAGTCAGCCAGAAGTTTATTATGCAAATACTTTACAACAGGATTAATTTGTGACTTGTCAATTTGTTTGCAGTTTTAAATGTCTAAGCAGAGCATCAATTAGCTTGTTTGTTTTAAAATCTCTGAAACAGAGGCAGGCTGCCTCGCTAGGCTGGGGGAGGAAACATGGGCATGTTTCAAAAACTGAGCTGAATTCCACAATCAGTGCAATTCTTCCTTACTGAACAGAATGCTAAGGGCCAACAAAAAAAATGATTTATGTTGCCAGATTTATTGCAATTTACAGATGGAGACAAGAGGCTTTCATTTAAACTTCCTCGTTACCTATATCTTATTTTTTTTACTCATGTTAGAAAGAAGAATAAAAACAACTGCTGCTAATCAATTTCTCAACTTAAGGACTAAATGAATAGGTAGAGAACCAAATTAAAAAAAAAAAATACACACAGTTGAAGCTATTCCCCCTGCACCTTGTGCTGTCAAAACCTGGTTTCACACTTCAGGCAAGCACTTGTTCCCAACATCAAGCCCATGATTTCCTCAGCTCACAGCAGTAGGGTTTTGTAAGCTTTGCAGAAAGTACGTACTGCCTGAATATTTTAAGAAATTATTGTAATAAGCTTTTCACAGCTACTTAAGAAGGAATAATTTATATATTTCCTTTTTACCAACCTTTCTGTCATAAACCCGACAACCCTTAATCACCGTTCGCCTTCCCAAAGGCGGGCGAGTGCCTCTGAACAGAGCGGTGCTGCCCACGCTCCCTCCCAAACCTCCACTCGCTGCTGCTGCTGCTGCCTCCACGAGCCCAGCGGAGCTCCCAGCCCAGCCATGGCCGGGCCCTTTCGTGGCTGCAAGGGCAAAGGGCCCGAGCTACTGGTCTGGGGCCTTTTTAATACTCAGCTGTTAATGTAGATGGAGCCCCACACCACCCAAACCCACTTGGAGTGTTTTCTCCATCAGTTGCAATCATCTGCTATCCCTGTTTACCAGCAGCTCCACGTCTCCCTCGCTTCACCATAATTAAATCAACCTTCCTTTTGGGGATTGATCTCTCTTTAGAATCGTAACTAGAACTAAAGCACGTTACACACGTGCCAACAGCTACCAGACTGCCAGCCAGACGACAGAGATCCTATGAAAAGCACCTGAAACAGTTATTACCAGCGCTGTCCTGTCCTTGCCGGTTTGCTGCCTATAGCCCTGAGTATTTTAAGTGCCAGTCAAGACCCTCAGTATTAGTCTTAGTCTAGAATCCCATCCAGGCCAACTTTTAGACAGGAGCCAGCAGAGATTAGATCTGACTCCAGGAAATGAAGAGCCAACAGAAACGCACCTCATGTCTCAGCAGCAGAACTGCTGCACAGCTCCAGCTATAATGAACTGTGGGGAGCTACCTCCTCCAGCTGAGCTTATGCTCAGGCTTTACCTCCTCTGGTCTGAAGTCACATATTTGCTGTGAAATGATTAGTAGATCAGTATATAGTGTTTAAAGAGACAAATCATTTTGGTAGGGCATCATTAGTCTGAAATGTATTTCATTCAAGTTCTAAGAAACAAAAATGTCATAGTCCGCACCTGTAACGAAGGGCTCGCTTTTTGCCTACAGGATTCCGTTAAATACCAGCAGAATGCCAAGTACCAATCACTTCTTTTTAATCAGGGTCAATCAAGAGCAAAGAAATGGCATACCAACTTCAACAGCTCATCAGCTTAACTGTAGCATCATGGAACTAAACCAAAAATAAATCTGATGTGGCAGTTTCTATAATTACCCCTCCTTTTTATTATACCTCAATCTTTAGAGTCATGCAGTAAACAACATGCAAATGGGGTTCAGTTACATGCTTTAAATTATTTTTATGGATCTTCAAGTAAAGTTGCATTTGTTGTGTTGCAGCCCAGCGTTTCCTGGGCGCCAGGCTGGCCCTGCTGGCCCTGTCCAGCAGCTGTCAAACACAAGGGACAGGAGCTAAGTGGGTGCCAGCTACTCCTTCCCAGCCCACCATTTATTTAAAGAGCAAGCTTTGTTGAATACTGTTGGCTTAGCAGCACTAGAGAAATCTAAATTAAGCCCTCTAAGAAATACAACTTGTTTCTCCTGGAGAAGATACCTCTCTAGCAGAGCAACATTAGCAAAAGACGGTTTTTAGGAAACCATTAGTAAGTCTTCTCTGTTCAAGAGGAATATTATATGCAACAAAATGCCACCTTGCGATGACAAGCGTAGTACAGATCAGGAAGAAGGTTGCACGTGAACATTATCAATATTTCAAGAGACATAAGGCGAGTTACCGGAAGAGACTTTCAGATGGACCAATTTGCTGATCCAGCTCACAGCGTAATAGCAGCAAGTTAAGGCCAGCACCAGGGCAGCAGCAGCATCAGTGTTCAAGGGAGGGAGACGAGGGAGCAGGAGGAAAGGTCACCCCTTTCACCATTACAGCAGGTTTATAACCCTCCCACCCAAAAGCCTATGTTCAAGGCCTGGAAATAGATTTCCGACATTTGTTGTGGTTGTTTAAGGAGAGCATATGCATTTAGGCAGTTGCTACTAGCAGTTGCGCACCTTAAGTTTTCTCTTAGGTAACGTTAGAAGGATTAAGCTATCAACTCTTGGACTTTCAGAATAGAAACAATTTTGAGACAACCTGCATATGAGTGAGAAAATCTGAAGGCATTCAGCACCGTTTAAGACTTATCTCGAATTTGAACAGCAGTTCATCTCCAGAGCCTCACACCACCCAGAAATATTTACAGAGACTGAAAGCACAGGTGCAGACTCTGTAACAGGTCTTGAACTGTAGCAGACAACTCACTTGGAGATACAGACAATCAAAAAAACAGACTTTTTTAATTGAAGGCTGCCTCTCAAGACATAGCCACGCTTTTTAAAACTTCAGCCAGGAAAAAACAACAATGACAGAAAAAAAACACCTTCCTTTTAATGACTCACCAGTTTGTTCTATCTATTCTTCAGCTCTTGGTAAAAGGTCACGTTACACAGCGCTACATTCAGGTATCTAAACATAGGCGCCCGCTGCCACTTGAGCTGCCTGTCCCAGGGCAACGTGCCTGGTCCCCAGCTGGCGGCACCGGAGGGGGCATCGCTCCTCCTGCACCGGCGCTGCCGGCCCCGCGCAGATGTCCTGGGCTCCCGAGGGCAGCTCCGAGAGCACTGGGGATCTATGTCACCCAGACCACTGAATTAAGGCCCTGATGCCTAAGGAAAAAAAAAAAAAGGGGGGGCGGGGGGGAAGCTTTCATTTAAGGGGCCGATTCCCAACTTCTTTTCAACATGAAATTTCTAGACGCAAAATAGGCCTTTTAGGCCTGTCAAAATTTTCACTAACTGACATGTTCTGTATATCCTGCACAACGGTATTTGCACCAAATTAAAACACTCTCCCAGTTTTGATTTTCTAGGGACATTTAACATATGTTATAGTAAGTCAAGCTCCTACTTGTACAAAAGTTACTGACTGCTTACAGCTAAGCCTTGAACAACTATGGGACTGATAAGTAGATGACAACTTAAGTCTTCATCGCTACATTCATGAGCTCTATGCCAATAAGTAGGATAATTAAGAGACACAATTAATGATGAAAACTTTGCTTAAGGTAATAAAAAAAGAATGTTATAATCTGTGAGGTAGCTGAAAGCAGATTGAGAGTGAGTCATTTTTGCCACGCTCTTTCACGACAAACTCACACAAGGAAACAAAAACATCAGTTGACTTGAGCTGATGCAATACATGCTATTGACACTGGCTTTGCATCAGTCACTCCTGGGTATCAATTAATTATTTTTAAACTGAAGCCTAGGGATAACAATTCTTTGTGTACAAGAAATTGCCTTTGAGCTAGAAGGCATTTTCTGAGGCCATCTAGCCCAAACCTCTGCTCTACACAGGTCCGGCTAGAACCAGCAGATCAAGGTCTTGTGCAGTCTCCAAATAGGAACACTCTAAAACTTCTGTGAGAAACCTGGTTCGGTGTTTGACCACCCGTGTGTGTGTGTGTGTGTGTTTTTCTTTTCCCCCCTTCTTTACATCAGCTTGAAATTTCCATGTCACAACTTGTTCCCCAAGCCTCTTGTTCTTCCACTGTGCACGTTCGAAAGTCTGACCCTGTCAGCTCCACGGCATCTTTCCTGTTAATTGTATGGCAATAGGACCTTCCCAGAAAACATTCTCTTGTAAAGGCTACACAAGCATCTCCCCATGTGAGAGATCATCTCATTTCAGAATTATTAAAACAAATGTCATTACACAGGGAAGCAACTACTCTACTCTTGCTCAAAGCCTCAGCCAGGGTATTAACATACAAATTAAGCACTACGGTTTATGTGCTTAATAAGTGCATAGACTAATCGGAGTCCAGGTCCTCATGAAATAGAGGAAACCAAAATCCTCAATATACTTTAGAGATAGAAAAAGGATTTTTAAAAGCCTTACATTTGAAACAAATATATTATTCAGGAAATCTGTGAGTATTTCCACTCTGAAGGTTTAAAGAACAGGTATGATGACCTGAGGACACTGAATCTACATGTGATTCTACCAGAAGACAGTAGCAGGTGATCATTCTGATGACCCTCCTCACAAACAATTCTGATTCTACAAAACACAGGCCAACCAAGTACACAGACTCATGTAAACTACCTGCTGCTGTAGAAAAACCTGAAAGTGTAAATTAAAAACAAAATAAAAAGATCTTGCTCAGCAATAAGCAATTTACGTTAATACTATTTTACCACAGGTATAGGATCTAAATAATTTACTTGAACAGTTCAGAGTTGCAGAGAGCTTTACATAAAGTTAGTAAATTTTTCTTTGGTTAGATGTAATTTAATCCAAGGCCAGAAGTATATACATTTATTCAACTATAAGTTCTAATAAGCACATGCTAAAGAACCAAATTCTCCGTCTTGTTCTATTAAAACCAAGGGCAAAGCTATGCTGGTTTGGTGATTTCTAATTCACCTACTAGAAGTCTACATACAAAAGTACAGTCTCTACAGTACCACTACATCTATTAGCATGACCTATGGCACTTCCATTGCTATTTTGTTTTTAATAAATGCAATTTAGATAATTTTTAAATACTTTTGCTCTATTAACAACCAATTTAGTTTATCAGGTCAAGTACAGTTTTCTAATACATTTTTGGAAACACAAATCCCAAGATATTATTGTGCGAGTTGTTTCACAATGGAAGAGTGTTTTACTGACAGTATGCTGCTTTAAGTGTAAAAAATACAGGATCAGGAGGATATACTCTTAATTGCCGAGACAAAGTAGGAATCCATAACAAATTATGTAAGAGTTAACACTTGATTGCTTTCCTTGGAAAGCAATTCCTTATTTTGGATTGCAACATTTTCATTAACAGGTTTAGTAGATCATTTTGAAGATACAGTATAGTGGATTCCACTACAGTATATGTCTTCCTAACATGCTGGAAATTGATCTTATGCCTTCACAACTCAGAAGTAGATTAGAAAGTTATCCTTTCTGGTATGTACCTCAAATGTTTCCTAAATGACACTGACAGCAGCTTCCAACCATTCAAACATTACAAATTTCTGGCAGCTTTTTTTGTCCATGTGCACCTGAGGGAGGGAAATGCAAGCAGTGTCATCTGTCTTGGATCTGTAAAATCATTCAAATGTACACCAGATAATTAGATTGCCCATCAGTTTTTTCTTTTAACTGCCAAGCCCTGAGTAATGTGGTAACAACTGAAACACATTTATCTCATGTTATAAATTATAATCTTAAACTTGTAAAATATTACTCTTGCATTACAACAATCACGATGCTAGTGTCAACCATAAAGACGAAGCAATGAAAAATAAGCTTAGAAAAGTTTTTTTTAAAAAAAAACTCATAGATCTGAAACAAGTAACGATATCACGAGCTCGGAACTGCATGGCTTTCATGTTATCTGTAGACTCTTTGGGTCTAAAAGAAGATGCACGAGTTGTAAAACAAGCAGTGCACCGGTAACTAATGCAGTAAAGCACAGTCACGTAACACAGTCTAATCATTTAAAAAATGAATCCTCCTCTCTTTCCTCTCAAATACAAGGGCTAGCAATGTAAGAGTATTTTTTTTTAAAAAAAAATCAGCATAGATAGAATCCACAAAATGCAAGTGTATGAAACTGGTCAAGAAAAAAATCCTGCTTACGTTTTGCAGTTTGATCACCCAGCAGGCTGCAGTAAAACAAAATCGGAATTTTGACTGCCGACACTAAATCACGGAAAACCTGCACTTCTTCCTCAAATATAGCAGAACCACCATACTTCAGAACTAAGTAACTCAAAGTATTATACAAAAATTGACCAGTTCCTGTGTCTTGTATCCCAATTATAAACACCAATATATTCAAGTTAGAATTTAACTTGTTTCATCTTATATCAAAAGATGGCCATTTTTCATTGAGAAGGATGGCAACATTATTCCTGAAAAATTCACATTTGGAACTCCAGTTATTTCCCTGCAATAATTTGCACTTTCTTGAAACACAGTGGTCACTTGCTCCCAAGGCTACTTCTAGAGATCACAGCACACTAGCATCTAGCATCTCACAGCACACCCCAGTTCCCCTGGACGTGCTATGCAACCACATTCCAGCATCACATCAAGGTAAGTCTCAGACACAAAGCAGCCCCAACTTTTTTCTGGAAAAGAGTCAGGACAGGCTACACTGAGCATGTGACAAACTCCATGAAAGAGCACGGAAAAAGAACCTCAGCATATCCCATTGCAAAATATACCGTTGAAAATAACTCTAGAAGGCCAAAAAGTTTTTGAACTTGCTGAAATGCGATGGTTGCCTTTCTTCAAAAATCCAGTCACTCAAGTTTCAAAAAGTAGCTACCAAAATGAAAGGGATGAAGCACTGCTACTTGACATGACTTACTCTGGGACTACATACCTGCAATAGGTCTCCTTCATCGAAACGCAGCATTTCTATTATGCCATCCGACTGGATGAAAGCTGTGAAGCGAAAAAAAAAAAAAAAGAAAAAAAAAGTTACTTACAGAAAAACAGTTTGATACTAAAGCTAAAGTCCCAAATATCTAAAAAAAACGCTGCTCCTATAACAACCCAACACAGCAAGGCAAAGCCTAACCGACCAGCGAAGTCGCACACAGCTTGTGACATTAAGTATCCTCTAGGAGGGCTCACACCAAGATGCTGGTATTAATAAGCAACATGCTCTGCAAATCAGTCCTCTGGCATGAAAATCTTTCCAAAGTAGAGAAGCTTTTTGCAGCTTAGCTGTGCCAAGCTAATTCAGTATGTCGACTAATATGACTGATAATGTCCAAATGCAGAGATGTACACCTGAAAAAGAGAGTTTAACGCACCTAACCTATATTACACTTCAACTCACACACACAAAAAAGGAAACTTTGGTTTAATTCTTGATGACACTTGATAATATTACTATAAATACACACACACACACAAAAAAAAAGGAAACTTTGGTTTAATTCTCGATGACACTTGATAATATTACTATAAGCCCGGAAAGATCATCTATTCAATCCTCAACATGACAACACGTCTCTCCACCTTGATAGAAGCATATTAAAATTTGATACATTTAAGGTGGATGCACCAAGCAACCCCACGTGAACTAGAAAGTTACTCAGTGAAAAGTTCACCGCTCAGTCACACTCAGGATCCACAAATTCAGCTCCTCCAGCCATTTCCTTTAAGCCACTGGTCAAAAAATTGTCCTTCCTTGCCCCTCAAAAAGCAGAGGATGCTACTTTCTTTTAACAGGACAGAGAGTTAAGGACTTTGCCCATCCTCTATAATAAAACAATCAGTTCAAGAGTGAACATGACTCAGAGAGCAAAAGTTCAGAGAGATGTGAGTCGCACTTCCCAAAAGACTACTCACTCACTAATAGAAGCAAGCAAGAAAAGGTGCTTGCAATCAAATACAGAACATGCTCAAAACAGAATGGGGAATGGGGGGGGAACCTAAACAACGCCTTCCCTCCTCCTTGCATTTACTGTCTTTACCATTAACTTGCATTAAGTTTAGAGGCCAAGAACACACACACTTTGCTGCAAAGAAACACAGCTTCAACTGAAAGAGTTAAGGGTGTCGCAGTCACAGAAACACACCTGTACTTCTCAAAGATCAAAGGTGAACCCGCCTCTGAAAAAGGAGATTTGAATCTTCATCTCCGCTTTATAGGTCAGTGTAATAAAAACACAACTATTACAAGGTCACCAACACTGCCCTGGTCTTTACAATGCTTTAAGGGAAAGTGATGTGCTTTATAGTTCCAAAGATCAAAAACAAAACAAAGGCACCCTCGACTTACAGGATAAAAGCACCTGCCACCCAGAGAATCACTACTTTAAAACACTTTTTTTGCCAATGTTTCCTCAGAATTCAAACAGAATTGGTTGTCTCTGCTTCACAGGAAAGGTTCATTTTGGTATGCAAAGGACAAAAAAAATTATGTAACTCAGATTTCAGAAATGTGGTAGCATCGGAAGTTGAACAATTCAAAGCTGAGAACAGCCCTGCTTGGGCCGATGTGTAAGAATAACTGCAAGCGGGGACGAGGGCTGAGATTATGAGCAACAGGCACGTCCTGCAGTGGCTCACAGGGGCCAGTGACACAATCACTTACGTCAGTGATATCTTTGAATTACTTTTGTGTATTTGTTATTACCTTAATAACTTCCAAACTTTCAATGCAGAAGTTATCTGTAATCTAAGAACTGTCTTTTTTCTTTTTTTGTCATCACTCATTTACATTGAAGAACTATAGAGATCAAAACAAAACAAGCCTTCAAACAGCTGTATCAGTATCAAGTCCTGAAGCTCACCAAGATTTGGGCTTTTAAAGCTCAAGTGACTAGAGCAAAGCTGTCAGTTCCAAATTGAATCCTAAAAGCAAAGAACAAGCTGCCTCCTGCCACCTAAAGAGCAATGTGTAAGACATTATTTAATTTTGCCTTTAAAAGTATTCAAGAGTTTATACATGAATTTCAGTTATTAAAAAAAAAAAAAAAAAAAAAGGAAAGCTCTGAAACGTTAGGCTAAAGAAAAAAGTTCAAAATCTTTCTCCCATGTCAGATAAGGGAGAAGTCAAGTATGAAACGAGGTTTGCTGGCGTATTTGATTTAAAGCAAGCTTAACAAATGCCACTTGATAAATGAATTCATGAATAAGACATTCAGTCCTAACAGTCAGGAGGAATCAAGCTCCTGTAAGGAAGGATAGGCTCTTCGGGGTTTTGTTTTGTTTTCTAGTTCTCTGCTCTAGGAGCAGAATACCTAATACATGATATCGGACACAAACAAAAAATCATTAAAGAAAACAGATTTTTATATTCATAGTCTATCAAGAATGCAAAGGATCCTTTTCCAAATGCACCTAGTTTCTACATCAAATTTCAGATTCTTAACTTCTTGGAGTGTTTTCTTGTTTTCAGTGTGGCATTGTACAGATACAGAGATCTGAAAGCAGCAGTAATTCCTCCATAAGCCTAAGAGATGCACAAGCTCACAGACCCCAAGCAGCTCGAATGAGCTGCCCTTCGGCAAAACCCCACAGCTTTCTCGGCCATCGTAAGCAGCTTTCCCCTTCAGCATAGCTGAAGAACAAAGCGAGTGATGCTGCAGAACAGTATAAGTTGATGACAGTGCTAAGCAGAGGCGTCCTTCAGCATTATATCCTTCAAGGAGTGTTTGCAGGGAGCGGATGGCAGTCAGCACCAGGTGAAGCCAGATGCACTCACAGTGCTTGGCCATCGGCTATCCCACCCCATTGCGTCTTGGGGCAGGCAGAGGAAGCTTCTGCGGTTACACTTTCTACATGTCCTACCCTCACTCCCGAGCCCTTGTGTCTGCTTTATCAACAAGTTCATCAAGGCAAGGAAATGACAAGTAAATACCTCCACTTTCGTGAGAGCGAAGCTTGCGTTTGCGACCAACTCCTCAGCCTCCCGAGTCTGGACAAAGTAACAAGTCACCTCAGTCAAATGAGGCAGCCCTCACCAAAGCCCATGCCAATACCATCGATAACCGGTCTAACACATAGCCAATTTCTACAACATTAACAATTTCCTATAACACCCCGGAATAGCAAACCAGGGACTACCGAGAGCATCGCTTCAGCCCCCACCGCCCCGCAAGCGGCGCCAGCTCAGAGACGGGCACAACGCGCTCGCGCGAGGGAGCGTTTCGGTGTCACGGTGCAACTTGCGCTGCGCAAGGTAGCGGCCCAGAAACAACACCAGACACTGGCAGGATAATTTCTTCCTGACCTTACATGTAAGGGATCTCCTGAAGCCTGAAGTCCAACCTTACAGCTATTAGTCAAACTTTACATGTCCAGGGCCCCAAAAAGGTAAAGGATGAAAATGCAAATCCACAGGTTTCAAGGCTAGCAGAATCACCTCATGTCTTTTCTTCCCCCACTACTTTGAACAGAATAATTCATTCTAAAGACCACAGAGATCCCACTTAAATAAATAAAGACTCGATCCTTCCAAGGACTCTCGAGGAGCAAATTTATCAAGTTAATGAGAACTCATTCCAATACCAGTCACCCTCACTGCTAGATGATTGAGTGATTTTAGGGTTGAATTTATTCAGCTTTTAGCCTATATATCCTGTTTTCCTCTTTTTAGACTGTAGCTACTGAAAGAAACAGTACAATAGGCAACCGCAAATGCTGAAAATACAACAGGTTTCATTTTCTCTTTGCTTTCAATCTAAAGCCTTTAAATGCAACTTCTTTGCTTCAGACAGCATGTACATATTATACGCAACCAGAAAAGCGCTACAGAATGCAAGAATGCAAAACCACTCCCCCCATAGAGAGTATTTTCTAAGCCATTCCAAACTCTTTTTAAATAGAGAAAAAAAAAAAAAAAAAAAAAAACCCAAAACACACAAAACCCCCCCC